AGAGAGAGAGAGAGAGAGAGAGAGAGAGAGAGAGAGAGAGAGAGAGAGAGAGAGTGAGTGAGTGGGAGAGCAAGCGACAGACAGTAAGCGTAGCTAGTTGGCATGAGTTACTATTGATAGGCTGTCAGTGGAGAGGGATGCTGCTGCTTCTGTCGAGGAGGGGGGAGTGGGGAGGGTATGGCAGCCTGATAAATGATGTTTCATATTTTGAAGCTGGCTGCAATTGAAATAATAAAACGTTATGGCGGTTGGCGTACCACAGCAACGCGCTGCCAGCCCCAGCCACACAAACACCACTGCAACCCCAACCCCAGCCCCAACTCCAACCCCAACACCAATTCTTTGGCATTCTGCCGCTTGATTAATGAAACTTTAAAAGGGAACACGCGTCCTTGTTGGTGCCGTTGAAGCTTTTGTCTGCGGCTGCGGATGCGCGCAACTAGAACGACCGCAAAAACTTTTCGATAAGCGATCTTTTCAATATACATAGATATAGTGTGTGTGTGTGTGCGTGTGTGAGACAAAGTTTAGGCGTCTTATTGGTTTGCCTTCGTCGATATAAGAAAGGCAAAGGACGTCGCGTCGCCGCTGCAGGCCATAACAATAAAAGTCATTTATAGATTTCGATTTGTGTGCGTGTGTGTATGCGTGTGTGTGTGGCACATGTGTGCCCCAAGGGTAGTGTGCCTCAGCAGTTGGGGCATAAGTTTGACGTTGCATAGTTTTAGGCTGCTTATCAGCACTTTTGTTTTATTGTGTGCGGCCTGGCCGCAGTTCGCTTTCTTTGACTCGTGGGCGGTGCGGTGTGGGGGCGTCACTGTCTTTGCCCTTGCCTCTCTCTCTCTCTCCTCTCCCTCTGTCTTTGTCTTTGTGCCGTCGACTGGTGTCATAATCAGTATAATGCTTATGAAAACGTCTTTTGTGTCCTTCGCTTATCAGCAAATGTCCTGCGTCCCCTTTGTTTATGGCCCCGTCGCGTCGTCGCTCCAGCCGAATCTATAAAAATAATGTTTCAATTTGATACGCTCTGCAGTTCCGGCCACTGCCCTCATTTACTCTCTGTCAATCACAAAATATGGTTGAAAAATGCTTTCCATCAAAATATATCCATCGGCAATGGGAGTCCTGCTGAAATACTTAATTAAGTTTGAGCAATATTTAGATACATTCTTTTCAGAACTATCGTATAAACTTCTTCACACACAAATTGAGTCATTGGCAATTATTTTCAATAGCTTAAAGCTAACTGAACTCTGGCTCATATTCAAGTCTGGTATAAATGTTAAGCGAAAGGTCTCTGGAATTATATTAATAATATAGAATGCATTTCTGTCGTTGCTTGTGCCTGAATTTTTATATAATTTAGCTTATATCAGTATCAATATATTATGGTAATTCCCAAAGGCTTAAGATCGGCTAAAAAAGCTACAATTTTACTGATCAAAGTTAAATTTTATAGTTGATCTATAAACTAAACTAATTCTATGCAAAGTATAACGAATTTAAGAATTTTTTCATTATCTGTTTGTTCTCCTTCCTCTTTTCTATTTCCCATCTTCTTTCTTATCGTTCATTCATATCGTTTTTGGAGTACTTTACGGTCAATCTCCACCTTTTACTCTCTTTGTATTTTCTTTTTTTATTCATTCTTTTTTTTCCTCTCGCCACTCCACTATGGGTCAAACGCCCGATTTTTTGGAAAAAAGTCTTATTTTCAAGTTGAAAAAATGTACAAAATTTTAATGCGAATCCATTAGGAATACGCTANTTGTAAAAACTTTATATGAATTTCAATCGCCAATTGAAATAAAAATAATGGCAATTAGATCAAAATTTGTGGTGGAAAATATAGAATCGGGCTTGTTCTTTGTTTTTACGTGTTTGTATTGTCCAAAATCTTTATGTGATGTGAAGTTTTGAGTAAGTCAAAAAGCTGCTTTTGACATCATTAAAAATCAAAATTTGTTGTCTTTGATAAGAGTAAACTTGTGTTTGTAGCATTTTGTAGCAATGAATTTACGCCCATCTTATAAAGTATTCAATTCCGAGCTATGACCTATAAGTTCAACGTGCACTTTTGCGCACTTTTTGCGCAATTTAATTTTTCAGCAACTAACCTCGTCGCAGGTGAGGAAGAGGAAATAAGCCTGTTCGAAAGGCAGGACACTTCAAATTTTGAGGTGTATGGCATTCTAGCTTCAGATGATGTTTTTTTCGATGATTAACAATAAAAGAAATATATTTTAATGTTATTTGTTTTTTTTATCATAAAATATAACCTTTTATTCCTTGAAAAACAATTTTCTTTTTTTTTACGTATAAAAACTATATGATATAGTTAACCGATTTTGATAATTTTTTTACAGGGCCTTTAAAACATGAAAACACATCTAATATGTGAATTTGATGTAAATTACTTAAAAAGCTAAAAAGTTAGGACAGCTAATAATATGAAAGAGGGGCGATGCCACGCCCATTTTTTCATCACAAATGCATGTTGCAAACAAAAGTCAAATGCAAAAAAACAAATTAACTATCTTTACTGATTCAAAAGTTATTAATTAATTCCAAAAAATCGGGCGTTTGACCCATAGTGCACTCCCTTCATTATCTATGTATTTGTTTCTCTTTTCTATTCTATCTCTGATCTGGCTCAACTAATGTACGGTAATATGCTTATATTATATGTCAAATCAGGTTTCAGATTTGCTTAATTACAGCTAAAATGTCAGTCGAGCACAGTGCTCACCCTTTCATCCGCTTCACCCGCTCCAGCTGCAACCACTAGCACCACCACCACCGCAACAGGAGCAACCAGAGCGATAACAAGAATAACAATATCAAGTGTCCATCGTTTTAATTTAAAACAAACAAAAGCATTGTTCAAGCAATTAAATTCATGATTATTATGATTATTGCGATGCTGTCATATTGAATTGGACAACCCTTAAGTCAGCCAATGCACGGGAGCAACAGCACCCTGCCCTGCCCTGCCCTGCCCAGCCAGGGGCGGGCCGGGGGGGTAATGGTGGCAACGTAAAAGACACTTGACAAATTCCGAGCTGCCGCCGCGTGCTTAATTAAATGAGTTTGCGCACAACTCTTTTCATGTTTTAATTACGCAAATACTTAGCATAGCTCAGCACGGTAGCTACTGCTCCAGCTCCAGCTCCAGCAAGGCAACAGGGCAACAGGGCAACAACAATGGCAATAAGATATATCAAAATATGCATGAGATAGAAATTTGTCTAAGCTTTCGGGCTTTGGCGCTGTTGCCTTTGTAATGCGAGCCACTTCAAAGCGGGAATGTCGTCAAAATTCAACGAAGCTCTCTCACACTCAACATCGGCCTCTCCAACTCTCCAACTCTACACTCATGCCTTAACTCGCTCACATTACTGCTGCTCGAATTGTTGGAGTAATTAGTTCAGCTGCATGCCCGATCGGCAGCAACAACAATAGCAGAGCGCTGACTTAACGAATGTCTCTGTATGAGTGAGCGAGTGTGTGTGCCTGTGTGTGTGTGTGTGTTTGTGTAGAGCAGCGTGCCAGATTCGTAATAAGAGAGTCGTATTTAAATTTTCAACGTATTTTTTAGTCAGCTTTCCTTTGCAGAGTCAATTTACCGTTCGAGTTTACAGTTGTCACAGTTTATAGTGCATTGACATACTCAAATACATACACAAGCAGCGTGTATGTATTTTGCTGTTATACATATGTATGCATGCACTTGCAACTGCAATAAATATGCTCAGCCCACACAGCGAGCAAAGGCCAATCGAGCGCAGTGGCCCCACCCGCAAACAGATACAATCCCCACCACCAGCAGCACCACAAATCTGACCCACATGTCAAGCGATGCACATAGCTAAAGACACACAAAGTTAGCTAAGAAAGTGCGACAGAGAAAGAGAGAGAGAGAGAGAGAGAGAGAGAGAGAGAGAGAGAAAGAGCAGTGGGAGCTCGTTGGCGTAGTGTTTGTTTTGGGATTGGGGGTCCCAAAGGCGTAGGTGTGGCCAAATGTTAAATATATATACATATATATCCGTTGTCGTCGTCGTCGTATCCTTGTCGACAACGTCTTAAAGGAGAGTGCGGAGAGCGGTGAGAGAGCAGCGCGTGGCAAATGTAAACGCCCACTTTTTGTTATTGCTTGTAAGCATAGCTCCAAGTGCCACCACCACCACACAGCACAGCAAACACTCACACATACACACACACAGGGCAAATGGAAGCACAGCAGAAAAAAGCGTCAAGTGTTATGTTAACGTTAACAGCGCTCTGCTCTGTTATGTTCGTGTGCCTGTTGGCATCGCTTTGTAGGCGTCGCCCTTAGCGCCAACAAATTTAACAGCAACTTCAACTAAACATTGTTGTTGCTGTTGTTGTGGCAGTTGTTGCTGTTGTTGTTCAAGTTGCGCTTTTGACTGCCTCTTTGGGCTATCTGATGCAGACAAACTTTGCAATCAGGGTTGCATTCGCGATCCCAGACTTGAGCCAGCCATGCCTCATATAACCACGTCCCGTTCATTTTTCCGTGGCAGTTGCAGTTGCAGTTGCAGTTGCACTTGCACTTCGACGCCCACCCCA